CGGTTATATACCATGATTTAAGATCGGTGCAGTCGACTAAGAGCACCATTTGTTGTTGGAACGAGCGATACTACCTGCATATCCACTTCTGGGTAGCTATGGTAGGATTCAAATCCGTAACTCATTGTTTATCAGCCGAATAATAAATAGGCAACCAACCATTGTAAGGAGCAGTTTTAGTAGCAATGAGATAAATGTTTATCGGTTCTTGTTAAGACGTTCTTAAACAAATTTACGTAAATGGTTTGGATGTCTTCCAATGAATACAACTGTGTTTTGAATAACTAGACTTCATTTAATGTAACTTGAAAGTACTAAGTAAGTATTAACGTTGAAGTCCAACCACAAAAAAAGAACAGCCATTCATAGGATGGTAAATTTCAAAGTGATTTACAAATTGCACTGTCCACGTTGACATTTCTCATATCCGAGTAGCTTTTTCAACTGCCCAACTATGTTGTCAACACGTTTTCCGTTGGAAACCATCCAGCCAAGACAAAAAGGTGTGACCTATGACACAGAAATGTCCAGGTACACTGCTGATGAGATTGGCTTCAAACGAGCTAAATGACCCTACAGTGCTTAGGTCATCCTGATTTGTCTGGCGAAATCAAAGATCTACCTCAGCTATTTCTAACTACTCAAGTTGTTCAGTAGTATGTAGCAAAACAGCCATTCCACACTAGCTGAAGGTTTACTAATTATCGAAACAACATCGGCCAATAATTCATAAAAAATACAGACTAGACTATAGATGCCTTGATCACTGAAACAACTAATATAGTTTTGAAGTTTATAGCTTTGCAACTGATGTTAGCCGAACAACAAACATATTTGAATACGAAATGTGCGAAACCACGAACTGAAGCTAGAGGTCAGGGCTGATGCGAAACTCGGCCCGCTGAGTAGAATTCACCGTCTTCATATAAAATATGAAGCAGAAAACGTATGAAATTTCTCAAATACTCTGTCAAATCTCTTCATAATAGACCAACTTTGTGAAGGATTTCTCGAAAAATTTTCGAAATACATTTATAATTTGTCAAGTGTTACACTGAATCAAATGAAAACTAAAGTACTCTCATATTAGATATGTTTATCTGATTTATAACATACAGTGATCTAGTATTATTTACTTGATAATGTTTCAAGCATAAAGTACTGCTCATAATCACATCAATGATATGATTATGAGCAGTACTTTATGCTTGAAACATTATCAAGTAAATAATACTAGATCACTGTATGTTATAAATCAAATAAACATATCTAATATGGAATTAATTTCTACCACAGTGCCCAAGTTTCACACCTATATTGAAGTACTCTCATTTACGTTTACGTTTCATGTACCAAGCAAGAAAAGTCACGAAGAAAATCGATGACACATAGGTTGAGTGTTAAAATTTATTTCCTCAGTTGACTGACTTGTATTCAGTAAGTGGAGACGAAAAAGAGTGGTTCTCGTGTTAACCAATGCCTCATTTCACCAATTCCATAGCTGAGAATTTTGCTCAAAAACTCCAGTCGGCAGTTGAAAATTCCAGAAAGAATGACAACACAGTGATCTTCACAAAAAACCAGTCTTTTTTCAATTCAATTTTTAAGATGATGCTATTGCAAAAGTATTGATGAGAAGACTTAGAAATGCCCTGTTCAGAAAGTATCCTGCACCTAGGCTAATCCACACATCGTGGAAAGCTTTTTTCACTGATACAGTGGAAAATTAACATGTATCCTATACGCGTTAACACTAACCGAGTGTATGAATTCGTGTGCATCTACCAAAGCGAAGATATTGAAAGGACAGAGAGAAGAGCTTGTCTTAGAATTTTTGAATGTGTTCCAGAAAGCCTACAACTGAAGAGATCTAGCAATCTCACCAATGAAATTATTATTATTACCACTACTATTATTGTTACCACTATTATTATTATTATTATTATTATTATTATTATTATTATTATTATTATTGATAACTCAACTATTCACTGAGGTTACTTAATCTCTATTCTAATTCGTACATACTCCTGTTGCCATGTCGTTTCATTTCCGTTTGACGAGAATGTCAAAATTTATCACATTTAAATGTAAAAATATTATAATGTCATGTTAATACCTCTTTCACTTATGAAAGCTCTAATCTAATTATGCCATTACATGTTGGATGCATTCGTCGAGTGACTTCTTGTGTATAAACTAAAATATATAAACTCCACTGTTATTGTAGTCTGGAATCCAGGAAGTGCATTTCGTTTTATTTGGGACTCGTCAGGTGGACGTGCTTGGACCCCAGTCACTGATGTTGTTCTCACTGAGACTCGGACCCAGTACTTATCGCTTCAAACGTCAAGGTGCTACCCGCTACGCCACTGGGGCACGAGGGCCAGTTTTATTTATTGATACATGTAATTTCCCGTTGCTCTCACTGCATCGAATTGTTCGGCCTAGTGAATAGCGCTTCAACGTTTGAAGCAGTAGGTAATGAGTTCCAGTCTCAATGGGAACAACGTCACTCAACATAACAACATAATCAGGCAATATCGGGGCATTCTCATAGAATCCCTGCTCCTTACAGAGGTCGGACAGTTTGACTCAGTAAAAGCAAAAGGAAATCACAAGTATCAGTGAACAACATCCATTCTAGTTGATTTATTTGATGTATCATACAGTGAAACAGTGCTGTTGGCTAGATTACGTTTCAGACACAATTTATCGTCCATAGTCGTACCAGAATAACCCCACAACTTTGAGACCTGGCTTATACAGTTCCAATTCTATTTACTCCTGCGTGAGACAGTTATGAGAATTCGCCGTATATGTATTTTGGGGTTGATTCTGTTATCAATCTCTGCCCACACCGATTAAGCTAGTGCTGAAGATTTTTACTATGTGCAGTCCTACTATTTGGTTGTGTGTAATTGCAGCCATGAGTAAGGTGTCTTTAATTTATCTGATTTGTTGTCTTGAATCCTCTGTCTTAGTAGCATGTTTCTTTGCTCTGTTACTTTTATTATGGTACATTTACCAGACATAGGTTGAGATGATTTAAAGTTTGAGTAAATATTCGAGTGTGAAGGTTTTCTGAAGACACTGGTCGTTAAACTATCATCTCGCTGTCGTCTAGTCTTGAAATTCAATATTACTTACTCATCTTCATCACTTTTAAATTCAGAGGTATATCGGTTTGCTTTCACTCCTGAATTTATATGCATAAGAAAACTATCGATGTGCTCAGATGTTGGCACTGTAAACACGTCATCTACATATTGAAATGTCTAAGTAACGGGGCCAAGAAACTTGTTAATAAAACAGGAGATCTGAGAGAAGAAATCACATACATTGAGGACACCTTACCCTTCTAAATTAAATAAATAATCCTTTAGTAACCGTAAGGAAAATGTGACTAATATTAGTAGCGCAGGTGTTAGTAGTAATAATAATGATGACAGTAATAATAATAATAATAGTAACGACGGTAGTAATCTGAAGAGAGAATTCAAAACCTCTACAATGATACCGTACAGGGAAGTCACCATAGAAGCGTTACGAAAAACAGTTCTCAGTTAGGCTGGGATTAGAGGGACATTTAAACCAACAAACTCGCCTGGAAACAAGCTTTGTAAGCAAAAAGACCCTATTGATCCAATTAGGCAAAATAATTTACTTTGCAAAATCCCTTGCAATGATTAGTGGTTAAATACATTGATCAAAGTAGTCGACTGGGATTAGTTAGAATAACAGAGCACGAAAAGTTGGCTAAATAGAGATTAGTGGACCCTAACAAGATAAGAAATTCAGAGAAAAGCCAGAGTATAGTTATGTACACAATTACACACAATCACAAATTGCAGTGGGATAGAGTGACAGTAATATAAACCTAGCTTAGTTGGGTGGAGGGGGGGATTAATGATCGAATCTTTGTTTATCGAATCACCACCGAATACATGCAGCAGTACTGATTCTGCATTTGTCACAGATATATAGAAAATTCTACTACCATTATCAAAAAGAAGGAGAGAGAATTTGAACTACATAAACTATGTCTCAAAGTTGTGAAGTTACCTGATATGGCTATGGACAATGAATTATGTCCGAAATTTTACCTAGTTAGTAATAATACTGTCTCACTGTGTGACATTTCTCATTTACAGACTAAAACAGAATTACATTCTACCAATGCCTAAGTTTCACTCTTATATCAAGTATGTTAAACTTTTATTGTAATCTTACATTAGATTTACTATAGGCTGTAAACTGCTGACGAGAGCATAACGAAATGAATCCTCAACTATTAGCTTGACAATAACAAGACTAGAATGACCAGGGATTAAGCCTGCAATAAGTCACCCATATGTATGCGTAACTGAAATGGTATACGTGTTCCAATATTTATTGTCAAGAGATACCAATTCTTGACAAAATCTGTCTACACAACCAGCTTCACATTCAAAACAGCAATAGACTGTCAGTCTGGTCTTTCAAGTATCAAGTCCCTTTTTCGTCATAATCATCATCTAAACGTTTGTTGTAGATATAGTTCATCGGCTGGAGTATTCTACTTTCCTGCAGCTCCTTCTGCTTCAGCCTGGATAACTAGATACCACCATGGACCCTCACACGGTAACCGTATCCCGTAGCCATATGCATAAACAAATGTAACAAGCTGAGTTACATTAATATAAATAAATTCACTGGTAAAACAGAAGCGACAAAAATATCAGTCGGAGATGGAGTAAATACACACACATAAAATGTGATGATGCTCTAAATTCAACCAATATTGAAACTTTGAACACTCGTGATAAAGGATTAAAAAAATGAATAGACATGGAGAATAAAACAAAAAGACGTATTATGCGCCTGCGCTGAAATATTGAATATTCTTTAGACACGCTCATGTAGAAATAATGACAAGGATAGAGGTTATTGATTGAAGTATGCGTGTCTTTGTTTAAACGAGTAAACTTTTCACCAAAAGATGTACACTACAAACTTACAAAGTCGTCTTGAGCGAACACAAGATACTGAAAAGTAGAAAAAGATAAAAAGAACGGAAAGAGATTATACTGAACTGAAAATTCCAAATGGATTGAATAATCTTTTGGCTTAAAATAAGTGATGTTACCATCAATAACAAAACGCAAGCTGTACAGTTCATGTTCGCTCACAAAACCACCTAACAATGATGTCAGTCAGTACGGTTTTCATTACAAAGCGTTCAGTTAGGATCATATATCGAAAACTGTCATGAAACTGTCAAAGTAGAGTAATGGAATTCTATGGTGATGTACGCCACTGAACAGTAAATGTCACCAGATTGATTACGGGTAGTTGAAAATTAACAGTTAGTCCTCTTGTTCGCTGCCAAGTCTAGCCTTTCTCAGATTTTAGACTGATCTTCATACACATAAGAAGCAGTTTTGTTATAAGACGACAAACCAAAAACTCCTACAGTGATCCCGCATTCCCATTCGTTTTGAGTCATTATTTACAACCACTGAGACTAGAATATGGATCCATCCTGCTAATTATTAGTTTCCATATCTTTGGAGACAAATAAATTGTGCACCTCACTAGGAATTCATAATTCTGGGTTGTTTTGAAACTAATTTAATTGTAAGAATATTTTTTATGGAAAATCAAGCCAGATTGATTTTATCCTCAGCAATAAGGAGTTTACATGTGCTGTTGACAGAATAACTCTTTATTGCGTACTAAATTTTAAGATGAGAAGAATATGAACTAAACAGATTCATTGAATGCAGATAATTTAATCAAATTATAGTGCTTTGACAGTAGCTTGTAGAACGAAAAATTTAAATGTTTTCATCCACTTCTGATATTTAGACAAATTATTTTATACTACTTACCAGTAGCTTATTTATTAAATAAATTTTATTTGTGGGGCAAATGAACTGTCGGTCGTGACCGGTGGGGCCAACCAAGTCGGACGAGGAGACAATTGCTTAACGAAAGCATTGGATGGAGATCGCATCATATCTTGAACTGACAGAAGCAGGAAATGTGGACCGTCATATTCCGACTAAGTGATAACTTACTGACAGTGGAGCCTAAATGTCCTGGGTTTGATACCTGGCAGGGTTATGGGTGCGCACTGCTGAAGAGTTCCATACGAGGACGTGACAGCTGTCCAGTGCTTCCAGGCTTCCAATGTTCCCCCACCTGATGTCATTTCATAGTGAGTGCCGACCGGAAATCAATAAATAAATCCCCACAAACCTCTAGATTGGATTACAACTGTGATACTAATACTAATAATAATACTGGTAATGATGATGACAATAATAGTAGTAATAATAATGATAATAATGATAATAACTACTATTATCACCATTATTATGAGTGATAGTAGCAGTATAGTGTAGTGAATAAATTTTTCTACTCCGATGAACCATTTCAGCTAAGAAGAAGCTTCGTCGAAAATAAATGACCAGCCATCCAGTGAAACATTCACTAGTTGAAACTTTGTTTAGAAGGCTGTGAAAATCGTCACAGAAATCTTTAGCATCCAAGTATGTCTAAGTGAATATAAGCAGATGAACTCATTTGCTTTATCTGACTTAGAAGCAACATTCGATACTGTCTAAAGAGACTTCATAAAACAGTATTACTCAGCTAAAGGATCACCCCGGACCCATGCCTTATGGGTCTTGGTAATGTCCGTGCTTATTGGAAGCTATTGTCTGCCTCCTCAACTTTAAGTTTTGTCCTTTTTCAATTAAGTTCCACAGACATGCTTATGCACGTCTTTCTTTCCTTATTGAACTTTACCAAGATTGACCTTGTCTTAGAAGACTACTAAGTAGACTTGAAAAATGAAGAGGATATACACTTAGTAAGTGGAAAAATTGACAAAGTGAAACCTTTTAAGCCACATTAGAAATCATTTAGGACTGTTCGTGATGGGATTCTTACTTATTAAATGCGAGTTGCTGCTTAGCAACTGATCTGCATCCATACCTAGTCTGAAAACAAGGAATGAATCGTCTATCGCCTTGACCAATTCACCCAATTTCGAAATCGGATAAACCTTGATGGGTTGTTAACCGAAAAAATCTTTCCATAAGTATAAAGCGCTTGACTTCCTACCAACGACTTATACTACTTAAGAGGTCAGTAAGTTATTCGATTACTGACTAGGGGGCAAATGTATTATCTAACGTCTCATTATGTCCCACTGTATTGCAACTGTCCCCTTAGAAGCACCAGCAACGTGTTGTGGCATCACCAACATAGTTATATAGAGTTTAGGTGCACTCTTAGGTAGTAGAGGTAAACTGTAGCCAACTGAGATGACTGGAATATATATTACACGGATGTGGTTACTTTCTGGTCCGATGAGCAATGTTAGCGGAATTAAGTAAGAATAAAGCTAAGGTTGACCAAACTAAGTCACGATATCACTTTATGAAGTCTCTGACTGGTAGTAATAGCCATGTAGGGGACTTTGGATGTCATGATAGGTATCCAAAAGGTAAACCAAGCCGACGGTTACAGACTTCAGATAATTTGAGTAAGAATCGACCGAATTTGAATAGATGCATTCACGCGTTATTCTTTACGTTGAGCGTTACGTTACATTTCTCTATTTACTTTACTCTCTATTATTCTCCTCCCACGGCTTTCTACAAATTAGGGTGGGATCATGACTAAAACGCAACCCAAAAATAAGGCTCATCGAATCTCAATGTTACCACTTAGTCTAACAACACATAAAGGGCGTTCAGCTAAAAACTGGCCTGAGAAGTAATGAGTCCTTCTCGTGGCTGATTACTACTCTCACTCTGATAGGCATATTAGTAAACAAAGTAAACAGAATGCAACAGAAAAGAATGGGATGTTCACCTGAGGAATTCAGATGAATAAAAGACACTTGTTTTATAAACTGGACAAAATCCGTATTCGACACCGTTATATGAAGTGAATTATGAAAGGGATTAAATCGATTTCCCAGAATTCGGAAATAATACCAAAAACGACTTCGAAATTCTTACTATTTGACGTTTGCATCAGTGAATAGCCGGAAGTTAAGTTGATAAAGTGTTTATCAAATATTTAACATTTATAATAGTAATTATTACTTTGCTGTCAAATATTAACAGGACGTAGAATACTTATATGATTGATGGACAGTCTAAGAACTTAATCTTACTAGATGATTTCAACTAGGAACACTTTTATACGATGGAAAGAAGGAGTACTCACCAGTAAGCAATATAATTATAAACAGAAGTAGGGATAGTTACTTGGGCTTAGTGAGAATCCTACACCCCATACAGCAGAGACACTTTTCCTTGAAGGGAAGCTAAAAGCACAGTTTAAATTGTCTGAACAGCATATGAGCAACAATGCATATCCTATGAAAGTTATTCAGAAATGCCAAAAAGAAGAAATAAACAGGACTGTAGAACTATCCGAAAGAATTTGTTATTCTTCAGATTGTTTTAAAAGGTGATGAATGAAGTCTTAGAAAAAAAATCCACAGATGAATCAGGAATGCAACACATATCCGACTGTGACACTTGACCCACTGTATCCAGTAACTTGAACGATTACATAATCTAAATTAGACGAGTTTCTGACTCTGACTCCAACGGAATTAATCAGCTCATGCATGTATGCAAAAGCAAATACATAAGAATGCTGAATATGTGCATAAAAGTCAACGCATCCTTTGAGTTTCATTTAACAATACGATAATGCATCATCTAGTCGATGCAAAGCACCAAATTAATGCATCAGAAGCCTTCATAATAGTGAAAAGAAGAAGTACTTCATGGCCACTTTTGTTTGTTGAGGCCGTCACCATTCCACAAATTCAACCAGAATTATGTATTCAAAACGAGGCAATTAGTGATATCTCGCCCGAAAATCTCTCCTCTTTGCCTTCCCAAAGCGTTTTGACGCCTGTATGACATGTCTATTTATATATATCACTGTCATGGTGATCCATCACATCCACAGGATTCTTTCATTGCCTCTAACCATACTTGTCACAATCTTACTCATCTGGAAAGCATTCTATAGATTGTTTTGCAAAAATGTCACTAGTTTTACTAAATTTTATTGATATGACTTCCTTATCCAGTGAATTGAGCATTCAGTGTAGTTGTTCTCAATGGTTTGCCTGTGATATTGAATGAAGACTAGTCATTCTATGAAAATATGAAGAAGAGGTATACTTTTTTGTCAAGCATTGCGTAAATGGTAATGGTCCAACAATGCATCATCTATTCCTGAGTATCTATTACCTAAAGTCCTAAACGCTACACTTTCAATATTACATTAAACGGCATAAGTCGGATGGATATTATTTACTTTGAGGAGGCTAGTTGTCGATATACCCTTCAGACGAGTGCATTAAAAGCTTGTAATACATATTTTAGGGTTCTTTTCACTTACTTTCAAAAGTTTTTATTCTTAGAAAGGATAAACTTGTGTAAACATTTTGCCAGACTCGTTCTAACTACCCTATTTGCTAAGTTAGCAATATTTATGGTAAACTGGAGCATCAAATGATCCTCTATCACTGTGTGATATAAGTCTGACAGTAACTACCGTTGTTGAATATTTACATTAGTACATACGTCAGATAGTTTACAGGTTTTCTTCTTATAAAATTATACTGAGTGCTCCAAAGCATACTGCTGGGGCCCCATCGAAAGAAAACTACCTTTGTCACACGTAAGCATCCGTCTCACACGATTGCTTTTTTATGTAATTAACAATAGTCATGCGTTAACGGCAAACTCATGAGGTTAAGAAACATAAAGTTGAACTACTTATTAGTAGAACAGACAGAAAAGTAAACAGTAAGTTCTATTTGATTACCTAAACAGCCTTTCGAAGTTGTAAGGGAATGCGTATCGCTCCACTAATTTCGAACAGAATAGACTCAAAATAGATAGTTTGATTCATTTAACTAATTTATAGTAAGTGATGTGGTATTAAATGTGGTGCATTCGATGAATAAAAGGTACATATTAGAAAAGGCGTATCAATG